ATGTAAACTGTTGTTAAATGCTAATTGTTACTGCTACCAATTAATTTAAATAATGAAATATTATTGTATGTAAAATTGTATAAAATTTTGAATAAACTTAGAAACCTTGAATTTTCAACAGTATTTTTGGTGAAATAAGTCAAAATTCTTGTGGATGCTGGTAATTATCTATGTTTTAATTAAATTCAATTATCTACAAAATGTGTCGAGAGTCTTAGTACATAGGAATTTTTTAAATAATTCTGAATATTATGCTTCAGTTAATTTAATGCGTACTGTGGCTTTTATAATTCAGATGAAATCTGCAAATGAAATTATTATGGTTCCTGACTGGTAGTGTACAACAATTCAATTTATTTATTTTTTTTTGTTTATTTTTTTTTTCACTCAATAATACATACATAAATACATTGTTATTATAAAAATATGTATGTACATTGAAATTGGATGATTTAAATTTATCTTGTGTCATATAAATGACCATGAAAAGAAGTCTTGTTTTTCTTTTATCTTGTTTTTGTTCTTTTTTCATATTTTTTTATATTATTTCAAGTAAATTCGAATATCACATGATATATTATAATGTATTTGTTTTTGTCTTAGTATATTTTTTTCTTTTTTGGTTGAGTTAATTTAATAAAGCTAAGCATTTTTAAAGATTAAGCGGATTATAAATTTCATATCCGGTTTCAAACGTTTAAAAAAAGTAAGTTTGCATATTTATAGGCTCATCAATTTTTCTTTTTCTAAATTATCATAATTTATAAAATAAATATCTGTTATACAAAATTTTATAGTTGTACAATAAAATGTAGAATAATTCTAGAAATAATTTAGGATTATACTGATGCAAAGATCTCGGATTGGAAGCGAACTATTGGAATTATATAATAAAATGTTTAAAAGAAAAAAAAATTCTTAAGAAAATGGATATTTTTCAAATTATAATAAGTTTAGTCGGAGAAGGCGGTAAAATAATTCACCCCTAGCAATTAATATGAAACAATAGAAATAAAAAATGTTGAGCAATTTTTGAAAAGTATAAATTTTGGAGTAAAGTCTGACCAAATTTCGGTCTAAATTATAAAAACAAAAATTAATGACTTTCAATTTTGAGAGAATATCAAATTTGTAATTTTTATGACTATGTTTGACATAGATTGTGCTTTAAACTAATATTATACTAATTAAGAGTGAAAAACCATTATGTAATTTAGAAAATTAAGTAAATCTAAAGTCGATTTAGAGTTTAAAGTTCATTTAGTATTCAAAATTATATTATAGAATTGGTCCACAGAATAATAGATCTGTATTTGAGTATGTAAATCCCGTATATTCTACAGGATATTTTTAAAACTGCATTTGAAATTAATGCTGTGCTTATTTTTTACAAGGACAACGACGAATAACAAGAGAACAAAAAGGAATAAGAAGATGTATATATATTTTCCCTTCGGCTTTTATGTCCTTAACAGAATTTTTATGCATATGATTTAAAATTTTCGTATTTTATTGTGATTTCTTTTTTTTTTTTAAAACATTTTGTACTTTATATTTTTTTAAATATATTCTACATGAATATACTATATAAACAATAAAAGGACATTCCTTAAAATTTGTTCGAACAATGTCTATACACAGTGCTATGTATATATGAAAACTTAAAGGCTCACTCAAAACTTGTTTTATTTCTTTTATTAGTTGTTACTGTAAATTCCTTATTTTGTTGCTAACGTCTATACTTTTAGCAATAGTCGTATTCTTCAGTTTTAGTCTGATAAAAATAAAGAAGAAGAATATTCCGTCTTCTATGAATTGTATAGTTGTTTTATAAGTATTTATATATTGTTATATTATTTGCAAAAAATATTAGTTCAAAATTATGAGACGATAATAATGTAATACAATATGTAATAGTATGAAATAAGTATAAGAGATAAATTTTTTTTTTTGAAATACATAATAGTTATAATAATAAAATTATGACATAAAATAACTTATATTCAGTGTTGTTATTTGAACAAATTGATATTTTTATAAGAGGGGGAAATGTTATATTTTATAAAACTAAAAATGATTTATGCCATAACGCCCATAACTTTTAAAATTTATACTAGTAGGTAGATTTAATATTTATAAATATTTCTAGAATTAACCATAAGAAAGTTTAAATGTATTTTTAATATTACACGATTTAAAAAAAATGAATTTTCTTTTGATTTATAGCTAGTAGAAAATTTCATTCACAATATTTTGTAATTTTCTCGACTAAATTGAGTTTAGAATGTGGCGTATAACAATTATATTTATAAGTGGGTAAAATTTCAGAATTATATTATTATATATTTATGGTCATATTTTGCACGGTAACTGTTTTACTAATGGCCTGATCGCGTATCTCGATATTTTACTCACCGAATGAGAAAAACGTGAGTAACTATCATATATTTGTATAATGTTATTTTCGAGTGAGAAGAATTATTTGGTATTGCGCATCTCGTTTTTTTCTAAACTGCATACAAAATTTATTCACTTTAAATTCAGGCTGTAAATTTTTTCAAAATTTCAAATATCTTATAATACGTTTTGATGTAAGCTATGTGGGTTGTCATAACGAAATTCTTGTATAAGAAAGAGCGCTGTTGATAATTAAAATATTATCGTTTTTGAAATATTAAATAGAATTTTAATTGAGTCAATAATTGATTCGATATTTTCGACATAAAATAAGAATTCCGCGCCATTCTGACCTTATCATTGTTCTCTTGCATATCGAGAAATATATTATATTATATCAAATTCAAAGTAAAGTATGATATAAGATAAACTTTTCTTAAAAAGAAAAATTATTAAAATTTTCTTTGCATATATATGATTTCTATATAATGTATCCTGGATCATATAACATTAATTTATAAATACATATATATAAATGAAAATAGATTTTTGCATGTTATGTGATGCGATTTTCAAATTACATTTGTTTTTTTTTCTTGCTAACTTTTGATAACTTTCATAAATCATATACAACGTCATTTATTCACCTACATTTTATTGAAAGGTGATATGTAATTTTATTATACCCGTACGAACGTATGTTCGAAGGGTATACTAAATTTGCCTTACCGTTTGTAACGCTAAGAAATAACGGTCTTAGATATAGACTCAAGTGTATGTTTTTGATCAGCGTCAAATTCTGAGTTGATTTAGCTTTGTCTGTCCGTCCGTCCGTCTGTCCGTCCGTCCGTCCGTCCGTCCGTCCGTCCGAACGATATTCAAAAACTAATTGAGCTAAGTTCACCAAATTTTCACAAATGATTTATTGTAGTAAGTGCCAGAACCCTATTTAAATTGGACATGATCGGGGTACGGGTTCGGGTAGCTGCCATACAACTTCAAAATTTATTTGGCTATATCTCAGAAACTATAAAAGTTATGGTATTGAAATTTCACACAAACGAATATATTGGTAGGGCCAATATGCCACATAAAAGTCGTTGAAATTACTTGGCTCCTTCTGGTACCTGCCATACAACTTCAAAAATTATTTGACTATATTTCAGAAACTATTAAAGATATGGTATTGAAATTTCATACAAACGAATATATTAGTAGGGCCAATGTGTCACATAAAAGTCGATGAAATTACTTGTCCCCTTCTGGTACCTGCCATACAACTTCAAAAGTTATTTGACTATATTTCAGAAACTATTAAAGCTATGGTATTGAAATTTCACACAAACGAATATATTAGTAGGGCCAATGTGTCTCATAAAAGTCGTTGAAATTACTTGGCTCCTTCTGGTACCTGCCATACAACTTCAAAAGTTATTTGACTATATCTCAGAAACTATAAAAGCTGTGATATTGAGATTTCACACAAGTGAATATATTAGTAGGGCCGATGTCCTTGATAAAATTCGCTAAAATTTCTTGGCTCTTTCTGGTAGCTGCCATACAACATCAATAGTAGTTTGGCACAACCAGTATTTTGAGTAACACATAGTACTGAAATTTTGCATAAATTAATATGGTAATACGGCAACTTAAAGTCATAGTCTGCCCCATAGTTAGTTATGGCACATTAGTTATTCGCACATAGGATAACAAATTCGTACGGGTATCACAGAGTTGACTAGGTCAACTCTATTTTTTTTCTCGTTTTTTAATTAATTTTTATTGTTTTGTATATGGAAAATTTTTGATGAATTTTTAAAACGTAAATTATTTAGTAAAAAGAAATTAATTTCAAATTTTTGTTAAAGATTTACTATAAGAAATTACATATTTGGGGCATCAAATTAATTTCATCTATTATGTAATTTAAAGGGAATTTTCTATTAATAACAAATGTATTGATCATTTTCTACTTATTGATACTAAAAATTTTAAAAATTTAGCAACAAATTCTTAACTTAAATAAAAATTGCTCAACAATTGTTAGAATTGCAGTACAAATAAAAAACAAGAAATATTTTAATCATATTTTGTTTTCTGCATCAATATTATCTCTTATATATCATGATATATTTTGTGTCATGATATATTTACATTATGTGCCTTAATTTAAATACGATACCATTTGTATCGTATTTTGAATGATTTGGTGCAACAATGAAAAATAAAACAAAAATTCCCATTTAAAGCTTTTTTTCTCATTTTCATTTGAAGTTCGTTTTTTTTCTGATATTTTAGACATGCGTTTTTTGATATCTATAGATAAGTGTGTATGCCGTGTTTTTTTGTTTGCATGTTTAAATTATAAAGATATCTTTATTATTTCTCTTATTTTCATCTCATATAGATATTTTCCTTATTCAATTTTCAAATTTCTTATATTTAGAAGACAATCTGCAATCTAAAAAGGAAAAGCTTATCTCTATAGAAATTATATCTGATGTATATTTGTGAATGTATACGTACATAAATTAAAAATCTTATTATAAATCATTATCAGGTATAAAAAACTTAATTCAGTTTCTTAATATTATTCAATCATAACGTATCCAGGAATATAGGTGTAAAAATTTTATGAGGAATAAAGTGAAATTCCGTGCCATTGACACAAAAAAAAAAATAAAAAAAAATAATAAGTTAATAAATATAAGAATATTGTGAATAATATTAAACGTTTAAGAACAGTACAAAATTTGAACACGTGTAATTTTTTTTTTCAAATTTTTAAAGAATTTTTGATTTGTTCGTAAATTTAATAAACGAAATTGAAATTAATTTTATGGTTTAAGAGTTGTGATTATTGTTAATATTATAAGATCGAACTGGTCAGGAAAAAATTAAAACGACACAGCAATAAGTATAGTGAAATTTTCGATTAAATACGCAATGAAACAAAATATTTTAAAAGAAAAACATTGTATTACAAAAAAGAAAAGGAAGTTAAGACTTTATCAAGAAATACAATTTAAGGAATTTCAAATTTCAAACATAATATTTGAATATAGGAATAAATTGGGTAAATATTATTTTATTTATATTATATACTAAATTATATTACATATTAAAATTTTATTCAATTAAAAATTTAAACAAATAAAAGACTACATAACTCTTCAATATATTATAATAAATTATGAAATAATTTTTAACACTTTTCAAAAAAAATGTTGCAAAAAGTCCTTATTATAGTTCGTCTCCGTTTTAGCAGTAAATTGAAAGAACAAACATGAAAATTAGTGCCGTCAATGTTGTGACTCAGAAGAATCATTAAAATAATAACATGCTTCGATTTCTGAAATTATATTTTATAAATGAACTCTTTTGGACATAAGAAACTACAGCTGTTCTGCAAATTATTATTTCTACTTATCTTATATTCTAAATAATTTAATAAATAGTTATCGATTCTGTTTAACTTGTTTAGGTCATATAATTTCCATTACACATTCGCATCAAAATTTTGTGTGATTTTTAATTGCATTTGAAAAATTGCACTTGGATAATAGCAAAATTTCTAATATATTGTAATAAAATTTTCTTAAATATTATTTAAATTTTATGTTTTCTAAAAATTTTGAATAGTCTTATATTGCAAAATCTCTAACTTTCTTATATTTTAAGAAAAAAATTTTTATTTAATTGCAAAATTTAATATTTTTATTGTAAAAAATTTTTTAATCTTTCCAAATTTAATCAATATATTTTATAAAAGTATTTATAGAACTACTGAAACACCTTGACGGTGAATTAGTCAGCTTTGTTACGTACAATGTCAATGGGGTTGCCTTTATTTGGCCAAATCCTACCGTGAATTTATTTTATAATAAACGTGTTGGATTCCGTTATAGTTTCAGTATTAGTGGGAAGATCAAATCTACAATAAATCTTAAGACATTATGAATTAGTAAATAATTTAAAATAATTAAAATTGTAGAATTTTTAATTCATTTGTTTGTTTGTTTGTTAATTAAAATGTTTTTTAAAAAAAAAAATAAACATATATGATTATTCATCACGATATATTTAAATACTATTATTAGACTATTTTGATTCAACAAAAAGAAAATTTAAAAAATACTAGCTATTTACTGTAGAAATTCTACATACACTTATACATTTATAAATATCATCTAGTTATGTATGTATTTGAAAAATATTAAAAAATATTCCAAAATTTCCATATTTAGTAAGGAAAATCAATTTGATTGTATGAAAAATTTAGCAGATATAAATGTTCGTTCGTTTAAAAAACACACTGGGATATAAATGAGTTGTTTTTAAAAGTAGCCAAGCAACCTGTAGAGCGATTCGATCAATTATATTGTAATTTTTGTTGCGAATTTTATGGAAATTACCAGTTTACCTTTGTGTTTTGTTCCAACAGTAGATAAAAACAAAAGGCAATAATTTTATTAATAAGATCATAAAAAAACACTCATCAAAAACACAGTCGTATAATGAGTCATCGTAAGATTGCAAAATTTAAGATATTTTAAGGGAAATCTCATAAGGACGTAAGATTCATCAGTATGAAAAATTTGGAGGGCTAATCTCTGCAGTACATCGTAGTCAGGTGATATTTTAATGAAAAATTATAATAGAAAATATTCTGAAAATTTCTTTTAACCCCAATTATGTTCATACGGCCCCAAATTATCGAAATTTTTGAACTTCTCTCATACATAAATGAGAGAAGTTCAAAAATTTGCAAAGCATTTTTTCTACCTTTGTACAATTAAAAATCAAATAATAAAGTGCAAATCCTAATGACTTTTTAACAAAATACGCACATATTTAGAATGAAAATTGCCAAAAAAAATATTTAGAAAATAAACAAAAATTATATTTATAAATAATATTTTTATTCCGTTATTTGTATTTAATTAACAAGTTATATATACTTATATAGATATTCCAATTATATATGTAAAATTATTCAAAAAAAAAAAAAACAAATAACATAAAGACCAACTCAAAAGTTGTAAACAAATTTGCATATTAACACACACATGCACATATAATAGGTCATGTGTATATAATAAAAGTCTACCTTATAATGTAGATGACAATTTCGTTGTTTACAAATATATATAAATAAATTTTTTTAATTTAACATTATTGTTATTCAGGTGTATCAATTCCAGGAAAAGGACATGTATATATATATATAAACCTAATATGCATAAAAAAATATTGAACTAAATTTGTTTATTATTCATAATATTTTTCCATTAAAGAACAAAGTTTACATTCTTTGTCTATTATGTGTTTTAATTATAGTACATTTTTATATATGCATCTATAACTAGATATATGTTATGTGTGTAGGATCAAGGAATGTATATGAGGGATGCTATTATTATTGTTTTGAAAAAGAGAAAACAAAAACCATTATAAATTTTAGGAAAATTTTGTTAGTACCTAAAGAATTTAGTAATTTTGCTGCTAACAAAAATGCAATGTTGTAGTAGAGGCAATACAGCACTATTGTGATTGTTAAATGAATTATTGACAAAACTTCATATGTTATTTTAGAGGAAGTAGTATACTAACTCACTCGAACAATAATCAAAACAAAAATTTGTACTTCTCTTGTAATGGAGTTTAATTCTGAATTTATGGGAAACTTCAAGTAAGTTAACAAGAGCTACTTTAACTGGGTTTATCGCCATACTAATTTTTATTTTATTTTATTTAAAAGTGTAAAACGTCGAAAGGCACTATCGGATGAACGGCAATTATGTGAAATCTGTTAAATAATGTGATTTCTACTCAAGGAAATCTGTTTTTCGCTAGGGTAGACGTAGGTCAAATGTTTGGTTATATCTTACATTGTTTTTCTTTGCATGACAACAAAGGACTCTTTGTATTTGTATTCCTTTTCAAGATGAGAATTTTTTATCTTTATATTTTTCTACTTTTGAAATTTGGTGGTTAATGTTATAATCAAGAAATTGATTATGACATTGAGTTAACAGCCGAGATAGAATTTTTTCAATTAGTAAAACCTGTATAAATCAGTTTCATCTTATTAAATTTTGCTTTCGAATTTTAATTCGCTTTGACTTTTGTAATATTGACTCTTTGCAATATAAGAAAGGTTTTATATTTCGTATTTTATTTTCCCTTGTAATAAAAATGTTGAATAATCGGCTATATAATATTTTGTTCTTGTTGGAAATATTTGAGAGATGTGTCTGCGTGACAAGGGTAAAACAAAGCATAATACATAATATTTTCTTTTGTTTTACCAGCTGCATTGTCCTTCTTGCGCTGGAGACAGATATAAGAATGCAGAATATTAGATTTTAATAAAGTTGAATCAAATCAATGATTTACAAAGTAGCACACTTCACTTAAAAACGTGAATATAGGTTTTCGGAAAATGATCGTCTTCCTAAGTTATTTTATGCACTAAATAATTACTGCATACTTTTCGGGGAAATAGTAAAAATTAATAAAAATCAACGATCGCATTCAATGGTTTCGTATATCCTGTTTCAAAATTAAAGAAGTAAGCCGCTTATGATGTTGTTACAGTAACTTGTCAAAAAATGATATTTTCATGATTTTGAGGGAATGCACCTTTTGAAAGGTTATACTCGAATATACGAGTATTTTGTTTTATAAGCACATGAAGACACTATGGACATACAAACAGAAGGGCAAACAGATGGACAGAGTTAAACATTAATAATCACTTTTTTTTTAATTTTATTGCAAAAATTGCTAAAACTAAAATTGCATATTATTGATAATTAATTTTAACGTGAAAACAAACAGAAACTTTTGCAACGTGCTCATAATTTGCTACAACTTCTGCTTAACAAAATTAAAAGAAATTTTTAACATTAGTCGAAGGTCCTTGTTCTTTTACCATTAATTTATTCTTCTTAATTTTTAATTTTCATTAAAGTTTTTAAACAAGTTTTTCTTATTTTTTATTTGAAAGTTTAAAGATTTTATAAAATTCATGGAATTCAATTTCGAATTAAAGCTAACGCGTATATACAAAAAATAGTGTATCTAAAGTTTCCTTTTCTTATCTAATCATTTTTGTTTTCTCAATCTCAGACTCGTTTTTAAAAAACAATAATTTTTCGCTTGAAAAAAGAAAATAATTTTTCGGATTTAAAAATTTTTTCCATTTATCTTTTGGTCATGTGATCTTTTATCAGTCATAAAAAAGTTTATTTTTTTTATCTTATCATACAATTTACAGACAATTAACACGAATATAGAGGGAGAAAGCACTTGTTTTAAATATGTTATACGACAAAGTATGACTTTAAAATATCTGATTTGAGGGGTTCGTGAGTGAAACGAATGCAATGTTATTGAACAAGTGTAAGGTTTTCGGCGTAAAATGGGTAAATATACTAAGTTATCATGAACTGAAAGGCTGCTTAGAACATTTTTCAAGGGTCTATTAGCATATTTATAGCCGTACGAACGTATGTTCGAAGAGTTTACCGTTTGTAACGCTAAGAAATAATTGTCTTAGATATGGACTCAAGTCCACGTTTTTGATCAGCGTCGAATTCTGAGTCGATTTAACTTTGTCTGTCCGTTTGTCCGTCCCAACGATAACTCAAAAACTAATTGAGCTAAGTACACCAAATTTTCACAAATGATTTATTGTAATAAGTGCAAGAACCCTATTTAAATTGGACATGATCTGTGCACCGGTTCGGATAGCTGCCATACAGCTTCAAAATTTATTTGACTATATCTCAGAAACTGTAAAAGTTGTGATATTGAAATTTCACACAAGCGAATATATTAGTAGGGCCAATGTGTTTCATGAAAATCGTTGAAATTGCTTGACTCTTTCTGGTAGGTGCCATACAACTTCAATACTAGTTTGGGCATTTCTTAGAAAATATTTAAAACACAGTACTGAAATTTTGCATAAATTAATATGGTAACTTAAAGTCATACTTCGTCCAATAGTCAGCTATGACATATTTATTCGCACCATCAAAGAGTATCAAAGAGTTGACACGGCCAACTCTA